AGACTTGTTATCAATAGTATAATATCTTTAGAATATGTGTTAATGGAGTAATTGATCACATTGTTCAAGGAAGCAGAAAGAGGTCAAAATCATCAGGTGAGAGGCTGGCTGTCTGAATTTGAGCAGCTAATTCTCTCTCTCTCACACACACACACACACTAATGTGACTGAGGCAATGAACAAGAATCATCTTTTCTTGCTTGTTGTCATCGTACCCACACACATACTTAGCTCTTATCATTGCAAAGTAAATGTACATAAAGACAAATGATTTCTTAATTTACAGAGAAGTAATTGCACTGGCTTACTGGTTACAGCCAGAAGCGGTTATCTTAACAGAGAACAAAGAGAGCAGAAAACAGCATGAATGCACATAAATTAGCCTATTATAAAAACAGGCTTGATTACCACAACAAAATCCCACATTTTGACAACTTTTTATGCCACATTTCCAAAAGCATGGCTCATGGGATGTGCAAGAAGCCACAGGCAACCTCATTACAGCATAAACATCAAGACAACGGGCAGTGAAAGAAAAACATGGATCATCTGGACAACCATACATCTCTTGTGCACTCCAAGGCTGCATTTATGTGATTAAAATTACAGTAAAAACAATCCTATTGTGAAATATTACAATTTTAGACAACGCTTTCCCATTCTAATATATCTTAAAATGTAATTTTTTATTCCTGTGATGACAAAGCTGAATTTTCAACACCCATTACTCTTCAGAAATAATTCTAATATGATGATTTGCAAATACTTTTATGCAAATCGTGATTCATTATTTCAGGATTATTTTTGATCAATTTAATGCATTAATAAAAAAAAACATTTGAACAGTAATGTAAAAATAAAGAAATATTTTAGGGTTCTACGTTTATCTCTATTGACAGCATCTGTGACCAGCTACCACAGAAAATTATTTTGACGTGTCCCTCAAAAACAAAAATGCACTTACATAAATTCTTCAGAACAAAAAATAAAATGATCTAAACAGTCCTTTTAGCAATAGGACTACATTTCTGGATGGATGGACTTTTGGTTATACATTTCCGATTTAATATCATGGTTTACCATGTTTACATGTAAAATTAGGTAATTTTGTGGCTGTACTTTTGGAATGATGTACATTGTAAACAATTTTTTGCAAAGCAATGTCAAGCTGCTTAGAATTCTGATACAAGGGCATGTATTTTCAGACTTTTTTATTTTCATTTTTACAAATCGAGAAACACAAAATTATTTAATTTACTTTCTCTTAAATTCAAAACATTCTGTTAACTATTAAAGAATCACTAAAACAAATCCCGCAGATTATCAATAATTTGGGTACTTTTTTGCACTTACTGCCCTCTAGTGGTCATGTACTCAAAATCAACTACTTCCATTAATGATTAATCCAATCGAATTAGAAGCTTTTATCCAAAGAGCCTCCTTACATTAATACACATTATTATATATATATTTTTATCAGTGCATTCCCTTGGCATTGCTAGCACTATGCTCTACTGTTTGTAACGGTAAGCTTTCTATCATAATTAAAAGTTGAATAATTACCTTTGCTCCATTTCTATAAAAATAATAATCACCTTTCTCAGCTTTGATGAGGCGTTTCCCGATGTCTAGCGTGACATATGCGGTGCCGTTCAGCACTATGTCAGTGATGGTTCTCCAGGCATTGGGGGAAAGCTTCTCTGAAGGAGAGATGAAGTTTCCAGCAGCATTGTTTATCACCACCTGTGGGTTGACAAAGCATATCAGAAGCAGTTTTGTGTATTTGGCTGAATCTATTGCATCACTGCTGTTAAGATGGAGACCTAAACCTACATCAGGCAGGCCGACATCATTTACAAGCTGGTTAACAGCAGCCTCCACTGAAGCAGGGTCCCTAACATTACACTGGACGGCATGGACCTGAAACATGAACACATTCATCAAACTCTAGGAGGATGAATACAAGTTCTTCACCATAATCTGGAATCCACATGAACTACTCTAAGGATATGACAATGTTTGCATAGACTTTCATAGGTGGTGTAATAAAAGCAGAGGTACCTTGTTTCCGGTCTGTTGTGAGATTTCATCAGCTGTTTTCTTCAAAACTTCAAGACTTCTGGAAGTGATGTGACGACAGAAGACGCAAGAAAAATAATCGCTCAAATTCAAAGTTATGTAAGCTTTGGCTTTGCTTGTAGGGTGCATTCGCAATTATTCAAGAACTAAAAGACCTACAAATAAAGTGAAGGTATGTCCAAAGTAAGAAGTCTCTTGATGCTCATCAGGGTACATTTACTTGATCAGAATTACAGTAAAATCAATAACAGTATAACAACTTAAAATAACCCTTTTCTATTTGAACATATTGTAAAATGTACTTTATTCTTGTGGCGGCAAAGCTGAATTCCAGTCTTCAGTGTCACATGATCCTTCAGAAATCATGCTTATATGCTGATTTGGTGCTCAAGAAACATTTCCTATTACCAATATTAGGAACAATTGTGCTGCTTAATTCTTTTTTGACATTTTTAACAAGAAGAATAACTAACCTGCTGGCTATCACGCACTCTGCTCCCAGTGAAGACAGAGTGGTGGTCATGGCTTTTCCAAGTCCTGTTCCTCCTCCAGTGATGAAGGCCACTTTGTTTTTGTAAGTTCCTGGGAGAAGCATAACACCTTCAGAAGGTGGGAAGAATCTCGCTTGAGGAGGATTGCTCTGGTATAAACTGCTTGTCCCATTTCCAAACAGCTGTTAAAGGATGCAAAGAGGGTCACTTTATTTTAATACATGAATTCAGTCAGGAATAAATAGTAGCCTAGCTATTATAAATAGCAACTGGGTGAAAGGTCATAATGACAATATAAGTTCTCTGCTGAAGCTAGAGAATTATACATTCTAATGCATGCAATAGGTCTCAAATGAAAAATCAAGTTTGAAAGGCACGATTTTCCTATTCAGTGCACATTATAACAATTAAAAGAGATCATTTTACTCAAATACAACACACTTTGCAAGCTTTAAATTCTCTAAAATGCACACTTAAACGCACAATCTTATATTTTATATATGGTTTATTTATCTAAAGTTCCAGGTAAAGAAATTACTTTATATTGGCAACATTTTATGAGATTTCGAAACTAAATTGTAAATGCATGCACACAATCTTAATTGCACATGGCCAAAATAAAATTCTTACTCGTGCTGGTATGAAGCACTTGTTTGGAGAAACTCTATTTAACAAAGTCAGTCCTCTGAGCAGCGCCATTGCGTCCAAATGAATCTTTTTTTAGAGGGAAAGGGTGTTTTTACAATATCACAACCGGTCACAACGTGCAAATAAACTAGTGTAGTCGGACTCAGTAACGCCTCATGTGATGTGATATGATATCTTCCGGTTTCCGGTTTGCCGGTTGATCTGGGATCAGACACGTGAGACATTTCATCCAATAGCGTGCCGCTATTGAGCTGAGGATCAGATCTCAGATCAACCAATGCACACCTCTAGTTCACTCCTGACTCTGAGACAGAATAACAAACGAAGCGGCTCTTTTATGTACATGTTATATCGTTCGTATGATTTGACATGTTTGTTAGTAACGTTCGTTTTAACCTGGGCAAAATGTAGAATGTCATTTTGAGTAAGGTGGGAAGAAATAACTATTGCTAAGCAGTCGGTTAACGTTAGTTGACAGCGCGCTGGGCTCAAAGAATCAGGTAAACAACCGTTTATTTTTACATCAGTGCTGTAAACAAACAATGTATACGCATATGTACGTGACATAATACTTTATAACTGGCAACTTATATCGAGAGAAAATTGCAATAATGTAAATATTTGAAGTTTTGTGTTTTCTAGCGAGTATTGCTAACAGATATGATGCAGCATTTTGTCTCATGACACTGTATGTGCAGAAGACTGTATACTGAATCTGAAGATTATACTAAATTTATGACAAAACTTTACATGCATCTACTCTAGTTGCAGGTAATGATTAGTAATAATCTTAAGAAAAAGCTGAATGTTGTAATAATAAACTGCAGAACCATCTTCTTTCTATCTGTAATAGGTATACATTTGTCTTTGAGCACAGCCATCTCTGATCCAGTGAGATGGGGAACCAGCTGGCTGGAATTGCTCCGTCACAGATTCTTTCAGTGGATAGTTACTTCTCTGACATCCATGATTATGAATATGACAAAAGTCTTGGCAGTACGCGGTTTTTCAAAGTGGCCCGGGCGAAACATAGAGAAGGATTGGTTGTGGTTAAGGTTTTCGCGATCCAGGACCCCTCTCTGCCCTTGACCAGCTACAAACAAGAGCTGGAGGAGCTGAAAATCAGACTGCACTCCTGTCAGAACTGTCTGCCTTTTCAAAAAGCCACTCTTACTGAGAAAGCAGCCATACTATTTCGGCAGTATGTTCGGGATAACTTGTATGACCGCATCAGCACGCGACCGTTCCTCAACAATGTGGAGAAGAAGTGGATCGCCTTCCAGCTCCTCAATGCTGTGGACCAGGCCCATAAATCTGGTGTGCGTCATGGTGACATTAAAACAGAGAATGTTATGGTGACAAGCTGGAACTGGGTGCTTCTCACAGACTTTGCTAGTTTTAAACCTACATACTTACCTGAAGACAACCCAGCAGATTTCAACTACTTCTTCGACACGTCCAGGAGGAGAACGTGCTATATTGCACCGGAGAGATTTGTGGATGGCAGCATGTTTGCCACAGAAAGTGACCAGACAACTCCGCTTGTGGATCTCTCCAGCAATAGCCAGAGGACCAGGGGAGAACTCAAGCAGCCCATGGACATCTTCTCAGCTGGTATCCATCACCATTATATTTGTTCTGTGTGTTGCATTATAATATGACATATTTTACAAACATCTTTCTCTTTTGTTTTCTTTTGATAGGTTGTGTGATTGCAGAGTTGTTTACAGAGGGTGTCCCACTCTTTGACCTCTCACAATTGCTGGCTTACCGTAAAGGACATTTCCAAACTGAACAAGTGCTGATGAAAATTGAAGATCGCAGTATTAGGGAACTGGTATTTTAGATACTTTGTATTATTTCACTTTAGGTTTTACAAATGTTTACACTACCATTCAAAAGTTTGGGGTTGGTCTGTTGTTGTTTTTTTGTGTTTTTGAAAATGCCTCTTATACTCACTGTGACATATGATAAGACATACAATAAAATTATATTTTGCTATTTTAACATATTTTAAAATAAAATTTATTCTTGTGATGGCAAAGATCAGTTTTCAGCAGCCATTACTCTGGTCTTCTGTGTCACATGATCTTTCAGAAATGATTCTAATATGCAGATTTGGTGCCCAAGAAATATTATTATTATTATTATTAATGTTGAAAGCAGTTGTGCAGCTTAATTTTTGTGGAAATCGTGATGCCTATTTTTTTGGGATCCTTTGATGAATACAAAGTTCAAAAGAGCAGAGATAGAATTTTGTTTGTAATATTTTGAATGTCTTTCCTGTCACTTTTGATCAATGTAATGAATACTTGCTGAATAAAAGTGTTAATTTCTTTTAAAAAAAAATCTTACTGACCCCAATCTTTTGAATGGGGGTGTAATAAATTACATAATTAATACATTTCAAAGTTTATTTATAACCATTTTATAAATAATATGATACTAGTTAGTTAGATACTAGGTAGTACTCTATAATTTCATCCATTCTATGCAGGTGGCACAAATGGTGCAGCGAGAACCGGAAAAGCGTCTGACAGCCGAAGAATATCTAAAGCAGCAGCGAGGCAAAGCTTTCCCAGAAATCTTTTATACCTTCCTTCAGCCCTACATGGCTCAGTTTGCCAAGGAGACCTTCCAGTCTGCTGACGAAAGGGTGTTGGTCATTCGTAAGAACCTGGAGAACATCCTCAATAACTTGTGCAGTGGCGGGCAAACAGGGAAGACTGAAAAACAGGAGAAGGCTTCTCAGGAGCTTAGTTTATCCAAGGAGCAAGGGCTGGTGGTGCTGGTGTCAGTGATCACATCCTGTCTGCAGACACTGCGTTTCTGCGACTCCAAGCTGGCAGCACTGGAGCTGATTCTTCATCTGGCAGGCCGGCTGAATGTGGAGATTGTGCTGGACAGGATTACACCTTACTTACTGCACTTCTGCAATGACTCGATGCCGCGCGTCAGGGCTGAGGCTGTCCGCACACTGACTAAAGTGCTGGCGCTGGTCAAGGAGGTCCCTCGCAATGATGTCAATATCTACCCAGAATACATTTTACCTGGGATTGCCCACTTGGCCCAAGATGAAGCCACAATCGTCAGACTTGCTTATGCAGGTAGTTTTAGTGCTAAAATAAATGCTGGAGTAAATTATTCCCTAAATTGTCATGTCTAAATTGCTCTTTTTTAAAATGTGTAAATACTAGTTTTCACAATCCAATCAGTCTCTGATTTTAAATAAAAAAATAATTTGAGAAAATAAATCATTTAAATTGGAAATACTTTGATATTTCTTAGATCACACAAGTAAAATGGATTGTGATGGATTGTGAAAGCCATTTCATATTGACGTCAATGTATATTTATATAATTTAATGCAATTCCTTATATTATATTACAGTTCAAATGTTTGGGGTCAGTAAGATTTTTTAAAATAAGCAATTCATAGTTTTATACTTTTCTGCAAAAAAGTGCAAAAGTGATAGCAGTGACATTTAAAATATGAAACACTTTTATTTCAAATAATTGCTAATTAATCATTTTAAAATATAAAGCAGTTGTTTTTACAATGTTACTATTTTTACAACATTTTCAATCAAATAAACAACCTGGGTGAGCAAAAAAAAAAAACATTAAAAAAAAACCAAATATTTGAATATATTATATTATATTATATTATATTATATAGAGAACATAGCACACTTGGCAGAGACAGCGCTTCGTTTTCTGGAGCTGGTGCAGGAGAATAATTTGAGCTCTGAACAAGACCTCAATGGAGAGGACACAGAAGAAACTCTTCACCCCAATGAAAACTATGATTCAGGTAAATAGCTGCTCTTCCATAAAATCTCACTTTTATGGTAGTCTTAAAAAGGTTAATAGATATTGTCCGTATATAACTGTTTGCACTACAGTAATAGCCAGCTTGCATGGCTGTCATTAAAATGCTGTGGATATGATCCATCCCTTGTCCAAAGAGCTGCAGGCCTTGCATGAGATGGTTCAGCAGAAGGTGGTGACTTTACTGAGCGACCCCGAGAACATTGTCAAACAGACGCTGATGGAGAACGGCATCACACGCCTCTGCGTGTTCTTCGGCAGGCAGAAAGCCAATGATGTCCTTCTCTCCCACATGATCACCTTCCTCAACGACAAGAATGACTGGCACCTCCGTGGAGCTTTCTTTGACAGCATAGTAGGTAGGTTGCCGTCACCGTGACACTTCATATAATATCAGAGAGTCACTCACAACATGTAACCAAATCTCCTCCCCCCTGCAGGTGTAGCAGCATATGTGGGCTGGCAGAGTTCCTCCATCCTGAAGCCTCTTCTGCAGCAAGGCCTGAGTGACGCTGAGGAGTTTGTCATTTATAAAGCTCTCAATGCCCTCACTTGCATGTGTCAGCTGGGGCTACTGCAGAAACCTCACATCTACGAGTTTGTCAGTGATATTGGTGAGAGAAATTCTGCTCTCTTGTACGCCGTTGTATAATGTGCTTCATAATTATTGTGTATAATTGTTACTGTTCCACAGCTCCTTTCTTATGTCACCCCAATCTGTGGATCCGCTATGGAGCTGTGGGATTCATCACTGTTGTCGCTCAGCACCTCAACATCGCTGACGTCTACTGCAAACTCATGCCTCATCTCAACCCTTTCATCACACAGCCTATTATACAGGTGATTAGTCACAACTACTCTGAATAAAATTCTCCTTTTGTGTTTCACAGAAGAAATTAAGTTATAAAGGTTAGGAACAACAAATTATGGCAGAATTTTCACTTCAATTTTCAACTCTTTTTCTGCCTTTGGACAGATTGATAAGAAGATTGTGTTGCTCAGTGTGCTGAAAGAACCTGTAAGTCGCTCAATCTTTGATTATGCGCTGCGTTCCAAAGACATCGGAAGCCTCTTCAGACACCTGTTACTCCGCCAAAAAAAGCGCAACGGCTCCATCCCAGAATGCCCCATTCCTGAGGATCCCGCAATTGCCCAGCTGCTTAAGAAACTTCTTTCACAGGTCAGGAAATGTTTTATTTTTTATTTTTTTCATTTATTTTTTAATTACTATTAATATATTTTATTTTAATATTTAATTAGATTTTTATTATCTTCATTAATGTATAAGGCTGCTGTTCAAATTTCTTTGTTCAAAATCATTTTTAAATGAGGAAATAATTACATT